GGGGGGGGGGGTTTGCCTTGCTATTTTATTATTTATTTATTTATTTATTTATTGGATTTTTACCCCGCCCCTCTAGACCATGTCTACTCAGGGCGGCTTGCATAGATAAAATAGAACAATATAAAATATATAAAATTGTAAAATTACAATTACAATTGAACAATTAATTTGAAGAAGATTACCAAGATGGCATGCTACCTGAAACAATGTTTTATTCTGAGTCTGAAGTCAGAAGGAGCTGCCACCAAATGTTGCAGCGTGAGGTGCTTCCCGCCCGCCCGTGTTGCAGCGGTCCCTGGATTCCTTCAGACTGCTCCCTCCCACTTTGTTCCGCCAATCCATTAAAATCAGTCAACAATCTCCTGACCTACTCACTTGGCTCATCCATCTTTTGAGTTGTTTTCTCATAAGGAAGGGTGTTATTTTTGTTTTTACATGCACTTCTGTACACCCTTTCTTTCTTTACGACTGCAGGTTTCCGACTCCACGAATTCATTGTCACTAGCTGTCCGGGTGTCTACTTAGAATGACATCGCTTTAAGTTAACTGTGGCTCATGCCTGTGTGAATGGGCAGAGGGCATCTTAAAACACACATCATGTTATGACCTGGGGTAGGTGGGGATGATTGTCGGTGGGGTCTAGCACCTCAGAGACGCATTGGTTTGGAAAAGAATGCTGTAGACAAGGGCATTTGAAGCATTGGTCACTGGCAAGGTGAAATGGTGAAAGCCGTGCCCACCCCCAGGGTTACCTCTTGGAAGCTCTGCTTGGATCTGTGTCAGCCCCCTGTGGATGACCCCAGCCCTGAAAGAGAATAGTTTCAATATTCCATCTGCCTACGATGTCCCCTTTAATGCTGAAAGCAGCTTTTGGAAACACAATGAACGCTGGCGTTGCTGGTGCTTCTCTTCTCCGGACCCTCTGGCAACAGAGTTTTAGATGACAGTGTTGTGCGATTTCCCCCCTGCTTAGGTGAGTCAGTACATCTCTCGAGCGGAACAGCTCAAGGCGCTGGTCGCCTCCAGCAACAAAGCTCTCCTGCAACAAGGCTGCCCTTCCAGAGATATCTTGAAAGGTAATTTCCAGAGAGAAAACCGGACGGCCACATCCGTCGGTTGTACCGTATGTGTGTGTGTGTGTTGCTACCTGAAACAATGTTTTATTCTGAATTCAGAAGGAGCTGCCACCAAATGTTGCAGCGCAAGGTGCTTCCCGCCCACCCGTGTTGCAGCGGTCCCTGAATTCCTTCAGACTGCTCCCTCCCACTTCGTTCCTCCAATCCATTCAGTCAGTCAACATCCCCTCATCCATCTTTTGAGTTGTTTTCTCATAAGGAAGGGTGTTATTTTTGTTTTTACGTGTACTTCTGTACAAGCCTGCTTAGACTTTTACGTGTGAATGGTGCTACAGAGGCTAGGGAAGTCGCATCCTAAACATCAGAAATGGAGGAAAGGATCCTAATGCCATCATTGCAGAATTGGTCCCCCACCCCCTTTGTCTGTTGTACATAGGATTCTTTTGCATCTGTAATTTCAGGCTTCTTCGATGGATTGTGGAATCAATCCCCCGCTGATACAGAGGTCCCACTGGTTTAGGTCTCTGCCTGTAAGAGCCCAAGGTTGGGAGTTCGATTCCCCACCTTTCCTCCTGGGAGTAAAGCCAGCCTGGGTAGTCTTGGGCAAACTGCACTTATCCAGGGTGCCCTCAGAAGAAGGGAAGAGGCTTAACCGCTTCTAAGTATCCTCTACTTGGAAAACTCTGGGAAGGGTTGCCACAAGTCAGAATGGACTTGACAGCACATGGTGAATATTATTAAGTAGAAGTATACTGTGCTCTTTAAAGCTGTGAAACATAAATGCGTTCCCTTGACCTTTGATAATATGAAAAACCACACTTTGCCTGTGCTCTAGGCATCGGTCTGTTTTGTTATTTTGAGGGAAAATAACCTTAAGATGAATAAAAGAAAGGCTTAAAATTTGACCACAAAAATATCCCAAAAAGTCTGCTAAAATGCCCTTTTAAAGCAGTAAGACACTCTTACTGCACTGCACCAATGAAGTAACTTGGTTCCCACATTAATTTTGGAGTGTAAACCAGGTACTGTGATGTTACAAAAGCTTTTCCCCCTCCCTGTCCTCTGTAACCCCACGTGGGTGTGTGCAGGAACACAGTTGTGGAATTTGTGCCTCTGAATAAAACAAGCCCCTACAGCATCCTCCATAAAGCAGGTGGCTGAGCTCCCATCATCCCCTGCCAGGGTGGCCAGTTGTCATGAGGGGAGCGGTTAGTTCCACATACCTGGGGAGCATCTCCTCGCTTAGAGGTGCACAGGTAACACTTCTAATTGTATGTGAATGATGTCCTGGCCACCAGAGGGCGCCACTGACCACTTCCTGACTTCCCTTGAGCAGAATCAGGCAGAGAGAGACTGCCCTTTATTCTTTTTCACCTTATTCTTTGTGTTAGGAGGACCTACCAAAAAAACACCATGGGTACAATGTCATACTCACCTGCAACTTTCCCCCCCTCCCACATCCGAGACAAATTCAGTCTTATGTTACAAGTGGGACCTCAACAACATTCTCTTTCCAGAAGTATGAAGACATATCTCTGCCATTGATGCTTATTGTGTGTTTCTTCCCAGCTGTGTCCGTTTCATGGATAAGCAAGTTGAGGCCAGCTGGGACATAAGCAACACCACCCAGTGAGCCTGTTTCTGGCCTGTATTCATTTTTGATGGAGCACATGTTGTTTTTTTACTGCAGAAAGTTTTATTGCATTTCTATTACAGTGGTGCCTCGCTTAATGAGCGCACAGTTTAATGACGAATCTGCATAGCGACGCGTTTTCTGCTATCGCTAATGAGATCGCATTGCGACGTTTTGAATGGCAAAACATCGCATTAGGATGTTCTAAAAACAGCTGATCAGCGGTTCCAAAATGGCCACCAGAAGAAAAAAATGGCCGCCCGCTCCGTTTTCGCGCCCTGCCCTCACTTACCAGGCGGCGAAAATGGCGGCTGGATGGGGGAATCTTCACATAGAGGTGAGTGTTCGCCCCATAGGAATGCATTAAATGGAGTTTAATGTGTTCCTATGGGTTTTTCCCCACCGCATAGCGACGAATCTGATTAGCGACGGTAATCCTGGAACGGATTAACGTCGCTCTGCGGGGCACCACTGTATTTTATTTTACACACAGGAGAGGGTTTCTGGAAGTTGAGTCGTGGCAACTGGACTTCTTTCTTATTAGGTTGAAATGTTTTGCTACTCATCCAAGTAGCTGCTTCAGTCTGAAGAGAGTTGGTAGGATATCCCCAATATATCCTCCACATTGGTTTCACTTTCCCCCTGGCCTGAATAGGCTCCTTAGATGGACAAAGCCATGGGTCGTTAACAGTGGCTTCTCTGGTTCCTAGTTTTCCACTTCTAGTTTTCTAAAACTACTTCTAGAAGGTGGAGGAACAAGGTGTGGCATGACATCTTGTTTTAAAGGATATTAGAAAGACCACACCCACCAGAAATAGCACTGTTAATAACCGTTATGATAATGGGTGGAGAAGGACTGCAGAGGTGGGATTATCCCTCACTCCCCAGTCCTTTGTCCATCTAAGGAAACTGCTCAGACCAGGAGGAGGTGGAACCAAGGTGGAGGATCTAACAGGGGTCTCCTGACAACTCTCCTCAGATGGATGAGTTGCCATGACTCAGCTTCCAGATAACTTCACCTGGAGGACAAAGAATCTTCACAGATTTGTCCGTTTGTTTTTTTTAAGTGAAGTGAACACTCCACTCTGTTCTTTCATGACTCAATCATCCTTGCTTTGTTGCTCGTTATTGTAGGCCAGCCCTCTGTCTCTTAGGCGGAGACGGTTCACCTTGACTCCGGTTGCCACCTGGCTCATGCGTCTTTCCAATTTTCTTACAGAGATGTCAAAGGACAAGCCACGCCTTTACACGGCTCTGGAGCTAGCCTCAGCGGCTGTGGCGAAGGTCAGACTCCTGGGAGAAGCGTGCGGGGGGGGGGGGGCATGTTGGAGGGAGAGGACCATTTATTCCTGATCATCATAGGCCATCTGCAGTTCTGCGGAGTTCACTCTCTGTGATTTGGTCTCCCCCACCCCCTTTGAAAAAAATTAAAACAAAAGCAGTGAAGTCCCTTTCTAGTTTTCTAAAACCACTTCTAGAAGGTGAGGGAACAAGATGTGATGTGATGTTATGACATCTTGTTTTAAAAGGAGATTTGAGCTTTCCAGGGCAGCCAGAAGCTTAATTATTCTTTTTTTAGAATTTATGAATGAATGAATGAATGAATGAATGAATGAATGAATGAATGAATGAATGAATGAATGAATGAATGAACAGGGCAGGCCTGAATGGCTTTCCACTTAACTACTTAATTGTTAGAGCAGTGTGACAATGGAACCTCAGGGCATGGTGAGCACTCCAACTCTGGAGAAGTTCAAGAGAAAATTCTCCAACCCCCTGCAAGCTCTGCTTTGATTTGGATTCCTACCTTGAGCCAGGGGTTGGACTTGATGACCTTCTAGGCTCCTTCCCACTCCGTTATTCTATGATGTTGTAAATGGTAGCCTTCCTAGGCTTTCTGGCAGGAGTTTTTGCTAGCCCTTCCTGGACCTACAGGGTAAACCAGTCTCCCACCTATTGAGCCTTGGCATCTCTCGGCACCCCTTCCCTCTTAAGGAAGCGGAAAGACCTTTCTTGAGTTTGTTCCATCTCCTCGTTGTGCTTTCTTTACATGTCTGGGTTTGACCTGCCCTGCTGAATGCTGTTCTCAAATGGCTCCTTGGTGGGTGGAACTTTTCCTCTGTGTCTTTCCTAGGAGGAGGAGGGGAAAGATGATGCCGACACTCTGGATCTGTACCAGCAGAGCCTGGGGGAACTGCTGCTCATGTTGGCAGGTGAGTGGAGGCTTGGTGTGCCATGGCAAGTACGGGGTGGTTCTTGCAGTGGAGGACGTGTATGTGTGCGCATGCATGTTGTGTGATGCTTTGCAGGATGCCTTGTGCGCTTGTTTATTTATGAGAATAAGAAAGAGAAAGAAAAATTGGCGGCGGGGGAGAGAGAGGTAAACAGATTAGAACTGGTGTGTGTGCTTTACTCTCGGAAATTCTTAATATCCTGTGATAGATTCGCATTTGAAATGTTTGAACCAAGTATGCAAGCTTTCGTCATTTTACATCTTTTGTGCTTTCTTGGTCTTTAATCATTCATGTTTGTATTTCTTTCTTGGGCACCCTCTCAGTCCAAGAACTTTTTAGCATCCCTGTAGCAAATCCCCTTTCCAAAATGTTTCTCTTGTTTAGAGTTGCCTGTGTCAATGTCCACAATTCCAGGCTCTGCAGCAGAACCAGGAATGCAAAACACCGCACAATGGGCCTCCCGCAGTTCTGCTTTTATTGCATGGTATATTTTTCATCTTAGAAAAGCTGTTCTAGGCTGTCTCGATCCAGATTTGTATTGTTTGTACAGGAACCCCTTGTTCAACTAACTAAATTCCACGGTGCTGCCTCTTGATCTATCCTAGCATCAGGTAACTGAAGCCTGGTAGACCTTCCGCTGCCCACTAGAGCAACAGAAAACAAGTCTTTTCCCTCTTCTTGGTGAAGGACTTTCAGGCTTTGAACCCAGTTGCTCCATAAAGTTCAGAGGAGGGCAACGAGGATGATCAGGGGACTGGAAAACAAGCCCCATGAGGAAGACTGGAAGAACTGGGCATCTCTAGCCTGGAGAAAAGAAGACTGAGGGGTGATAGGATAGCACTTTTCAAATACAGTACAGTGGTGCCTCACTTAACGATGATAATCCGTTCCAGGAAAATCGCTGTTAAGCGAAAACATCGTAAAGCGAAATAGAAAACCCCATTGAAACGCATTGAAACCCGTTCAATGTGTTCTAATGGGGTAAAAACTCACCGTCCAGCGAAGATCCTCCATAAGGCGGCCATTTTCGCTGCCTGTATAGCGAGGAATCCATCCCTAAACACAGAAGGGAGCCATTTTAATTACCTGGTGGCCATTTTGAAACCGGCGATCAGCTGTTCTAAAAACAT